TCCAAGGATTGGAGCCAAGCAAACGCCAGTCCACCAATTCCCAATTTGGAGAGCCTCCTCAGGAGGATACTGTGGTCGACGGTATCAAAGGCAGCTGAGATGTCGAGGACCACCAACAGGGAGGTTTTCCCCCTATCAGCCTCCCTCAACAGGTCCTTATACAGGACGACCAATGTCGTTTCTGTACCATGGCACGGCCTGAAGCCCGACTGGAATGGATCCAGGGCATTTGTTTCATCCAAGTGCACCTGAAGCTGGTCGGTCACCACCCTCTCCACCACTATACTAATGAAAGAAACATTGGCGACGGGCCTGTAATTGCCAATTTTGTCCGCCGCCAAATTCAGTTTCTTTCTTATGGGCCTATGAGTGTCTCCTTGAGGGCAAGGGGAACCCTGCCCTCACGGAAAGACCCATTAATTATTGCTGCTGCCCATTCTGTTGTTATAGGCCTGGCTGCTTTTATTAGGCAGGCTGGACAAGGGTCAAAGGAGGAGGTGGGGGCACGCCAGTGATCAAGAGCCTTGTCCATAATCTCTGGTGTCACAATGATCAATTCTCCCTGGGCAAGGCGGAGCGCTGGACATCTCTGCTCGACTCACTGTGCCCAAAAAAGGAGAAAGGTTCCTGGCGGATGGCCTTCACTTTAGAGTTTAAAAATGCTGTAAATTGGTCTGGTGAGATACTAGGGGGAGGCCTGTCACTTGGACCAATTCCAGATAGGTCGCAAACCATGCGGAAAAGCTCCACCTGCTGATTTGAAGCTTCGCTTATCCGGTCAGCGAAGTGTGCTCACCTAGCAGCCTTTACCTTAGCAAGGTGAAGTTTAGTCGCGACCCTGACAGCTACTGGATACTGAACCATCAGGTCTCTTCTCCACTTGCACTCTAGCCTTCTCCTAGTTTGCTTCATCGCTCTCAGGTCCTGGTTAAACCAGGACGCAGACCGAGCTCTGCACTGGAGAGGGCGTTTAGGAGCGATCGTGTCTACAGCCCTGGTGGAGGCGGTAAACCATCCGTCAACCAGGGCCATGACAGGAGCCCCAGCCAGGTCAGATGGAATGCCTCTCATGGCATCCGGGATTCCTATGGGATCCAGTAGCCTTCGAGGGCAGACCATAGAAATAGGTCCATGCTCCCTGCGAGGAGGGAGAGCCATTGAGAGGTTACATTTTATTAGGTGGTGATCTGTCCATGACAATGGTATCGACACAGTCAGTCACCATCAGACCACACTCGCTCCAATTGGCAGGGGGAAAAAACAGGTCTAGCATATGACCACCTGTGTGTGGGGCCACTGACATGTTGGGACATGTTCAAGGAAGCGATGGTTTCCAAGAACTCAAGAGCTGGACCTGAAGTCTCCGCCTCCGCGTGGATGTTGAAGTCCCCCAAGACCAAGAGCCTCGGGGACTCCGACAGTGCCGCAGAGACAAAGTCCGCCAGCTCTGGTAAGGAAATGGCTGGGTTGCAGAGAGCACGGTAACCCAGCAAGATCCCAATACCATCCCTGGCCCCTGACAGTATATTTAAATACTGTCAGAATGTCTCATACTCAGGATACAAATGTAATTGCTAATAGGGTTTTACATAGTCACATAAGTGAACATTTTATGAAAAATGCAACAAAACACAGCAAAAAGTGTGATTTAAATAATTATATGGTAAACCATATAGAGTGCTATGGCACTATAGGACGGCAAATAAGTCAAAGCAACAACAACAACCCTTTCTTTTAGATTTGTTATGAATGGACCTGTCAGCCATAGTATTATAGATTCAGGGTTAATTTACAGGTTCAGAGTGCTAACCTATGGGAGAACTCTAACAACTACAACTGTGCAGGGTTTTTCCAACACCACAACACTGTTATAGTGCTACCTTATCTTATCCAATATGGTCTGAGATATTGTATAGACTTAATTACAGGAGAGATATGGAACTTAAAGAGGGGGTCAAATAATTTTCTATGTTGTTGTTATGTGCCATCAAGTTGGGACCGACTTATAGTGACCCTAACAGAGCTTTTGAGTTAAGAGAGATATCTAAGGGATGGTTTTACCAGTCCCATAATCCACAATGATTTTCCATGGCTAAGTGGGGATTTGAACACAGGTCTCCCAAGTCCTGGTCCATCACTCTACTGACTGCACCACACTGGGTGTCCAATTTTCTATGGTTTACATTAAAATATGCATGGAGATATTATAGTTAAAACTTTCTAGAAATATAGAGGCAATGAATGTTAAGAATGCCAGTACTGACTGAGACCATCTTTGTGGAACACACTGCATAAAACAAGCCGCTGAGCTTATTTCCCTGCTCTTGCACCACACAGATCTTTTATCTTGCACTTGCCAAATCATTCATGCTATTCATCCCTATTTCCAACTTTTGTTGACAGCCAGAATATAGGTTTGACGGCATCAAAGCCATTTACCGTGATAGGCAAATACTGCAGACTCTATCTTTTGCATAACAGCCACAGGTCAAGCTAACGGGACAACTGCTGGCAGATTTCTTGGCTAAACCATTATTCACAGTTGAAGCTGGCTTCTTCTTCACAGACAGTTTTCTAGATGCAATGTCTGTCACTATGGGCTGCTTTATGAGCTGCAATATAATATTTGTAAAAGAAGAAATATTTAAACATAACTTTCACTCTAGCTATACTCGAACTAAGAGTTGTATTAAGTAGCATTTAGAAAGGCAGCATGCCAAACTCACAAGTTTTGCTAGCAATAAATCCCAATGGGTATTAAGACATAGCAAGATATTTCAAGAATTCTGATTTAGTGGGATTCAGAAAAATTAAACATTTTACTAACTATATTAATATCCAAAGCCCTTTAGCATTATGAAATCCGTAAAATGGGCTTGTAAACTCCAGGGTCCTAAACCAAACAAATATTGAGTCATGCTTTAGAAATTATGGGACTTCACTTAGTGGTATATACATGAAGCTCAACAGGGTTGTTGCCAAAAACAGCAATCTGGGCTCAAGCTACAGATTTGCACAGTACTATACAGTTAGGGTAATCATGTCATACATTCTTCTGTCCCTGTTACATATAAATTGCTACCACTGGGTATGAAGAAATGCATGTCTTGATGATGTCACGTCAAGAGTTTCTGTAACTATATATGACACGGAGGAGGAACCAAACCCAGGGTTGCCATTTTGGACAGTAGCCATGTGTTCAAGTCTTATTTTGGGAAAAGTTGTATCACTAATATCTAAGGGTATTAAGTGTACTCAAATCTATCCATAACAGGACCCAGTGCTTGGAAGTAGTTTTCTCCTGGCCTGCAAAAGTTTTCCTATCTATTTGCCTGGGAGCAGTTTTACTCATTAAGTGAGAGCCAAAGTAAAGCTACTTGATTTAGATTAAAAAATATGGTGTATTACTTCTAGTCATGCACAGTTTTAAAAAGGACATAATTATTCTCCTTTTGTGCTGCAAGGAGCAGCGAATAACAGATCAGATCATATAGGCAGACATGCTTGTAAAGCAATGTATGCACACATTCTGGCACTATTCTAGTGTAGAGGTAAATGACAAGTCACCTTATTCAATTTTGTCGCACATTTGCCATGTTAAATCCCGGTCACATCAACTGAACAATACGTACCAACATTTTTAGAATTATTGTTCCCAACCATAAGTAACCCAGCTGTTATTGGACTGCCATTTCCAGCGGCTTTCACCACCAGCTGTACTGGCCAGAGTTTCTGAGAGTTGCAGCCCAAGAACACCTGGGTTAACTAAGGTTGGGAACCACTGGTGTAGAACAACAATTAGAAAGTTAAGTTTCACAAAGTCTAACCTAACTACAGTGAACCCTTGACTTATGAAGGTCCCTACTTAAGAAAATTTCGAGGTACAAGAAGCTCTGGCCGCAAAATTTTGGTTTGACTTGCGGCCAGAGCTTCAACCTATGAAAGACAGGGGGAAAGGGCGGGAAATTCAAAGCCACCCTCGCTGCCCTCTGCCTCCCGTCCCCGCTGCCCTCTGCCTCCTGTCCCACGGGGACAGGAAGCAAAGGACAGCGGGGGCAGCTTTGGAAGCCCGGCAAGCCAAAAGCCGCCCTGACCTCCGTGCCCGCTGCCAGCTTTCAGGGCTCCAAAAGCTGCATCCACTGCCCTCTGCCTCCTGTCCTCGTGAGGATGGGAGGCAAGAGGGCAGCGGGGGCAGAAGGCAGAGGGTGCAGCTTTGGAAGCCTGGGAGTTTTTTTCTTTGGCTGGAACGGATTAAATGGTTTTCAATGCATTACTATGGGAAATGGACCCTCGACCTACGGACTTTTCGTCCTGCAGCCACTGTTCCAATACAGATTAATTCCGTAAGTTGAGGGTCCACTGTAGTTGTGGCGGCGGGCACTGTGGCCCTCCAAATATTGTCTGCATTGCAGCTCCCATAATCCTTCACAACTGGCTAGTCATGTCAAAAATATCTGGAGGATCACAGTTGCCAATTCCTGAATTAGACTAATGGAGTGCTTTAAAGAACAACTTGGACATTATTCCAATACAGATTAATTCCGTAAGTTGAGGGTCCACTGTAGTTGTGGCGGCGGGCACTGTGGCCCTCCAAATATTGTCTGCATTGCAGCTCCCATAATCCTTCACAACTGGCTAGTCATGTCAAAAATATCTGGAGGATCACAGTTGCCAATTCCTGAATTAGACTAATGGAGTGCTTTAAAGAACAACTTGGACATTAATATATAAAAGTTCGACCAGGGAAACAGGCACTGCTGGTTAATGGAGTGCTTTAAAGAACAACTTGGACATTAATATATAAAAGTTCGACCAGGGAAACAGGCTTCAAACTGCTGGTTGAAAATTAATAACAACACATAGAAAGTTTTGAGCAAATACATTTCACATTCCTTATTCCTTCACACTTACAAATATGTAATTGATGTATCTGTTTATACTTACTTTCGCTGAGGAACGCTCTTGAAATGCAGAACTTCGGACATTGAAATTTCTCTCCCCAAACACTGAGCGCTGAACAGAAAGGCACTCAGGCCCCTCCTAAAGCATCAGAAAAAGGAAAATAATAATTGCATCTTTCAACAGTCAACCACAGCCTGTCTTCTTAGATGTGTATCATTTGGTTTACATAGCACACGACACTTCACTTTTAAAAAGAGAACAAGGCAGGCATTTAGATGTTAAGGAATAACATTCTACTTGTATTTCACTTAATTGAAAGTACTATCCTTTCCATTTCAGGAAACTATAAATAAGAATTTCATGTCACATTTACATCTCTTCATCCAACTTTCCACTATTTCTATGCAGCAATAATACAGTTATGAGTGCAAATGTGTGTGTGTGTGTGTGCACGTGCGTGCGTGTATGGTTAAACAACGTGTGCGTGCGTGCGTGCGTGCGTGCATGGTTAAACAATGTACTCTGAGTCTAATGCATGGGGCAGTGCACCTCAGTACAGAGAGATGTTGTGAGAGAGAAACCAGAGTGAATGTTTCAGTTACTCTGCAATAATTAAAATGGAATAGTTTCCAGACAAACTGACAACACCCTTCTACAAACGTTACATAAGCGAAATTACTGCAGAAAAACAAATTCCATTTTTCTGAGTTGTGTGATCTTCATGAATGCTTTTCAAATGCTTTTCATACACACAAAGGTTTTGAAATAGAGATTGACATTTTATCCTAGTACTACATCTCCCCCTGTTGGATGAAGTAAATCATTAAGTTCACACATCAAAGTTATGGAAGCAGCACAGAACCTTTCTTTTGTGTCCTTGTTTAATCTGTGTTTGTGAAATGGAACAAGGCCTTTTATTAGCAGTTTTTGTAGCTGACGGATGAATGAGCTGTTTGGGTGCTGTGGAAGTGACAGAAACCTGGCTTCCCAACGTGATCTGGGGCTTATTGTATGCGCCACTTCCCTGCTGGGCTTCAGACTGGATAACCTTTAGAAGTTCTATTTTTGTATCAGGAGTTCCTTGTGCCAAACCAAAGTCGACCAGGGCATACCTAAAACATAATTTAAAAACACACCGTAGTCAATTATTTAACACACAGGTATCAACTGCAGTTTTGTTCTATCAGAAATCAGAACCTTCTTGGTCTTTGTCATTTTGAAGACAGTGAACAATGGATAAGCTTGATTGTTCTACTGAAGTCTATTAAAGGGGTAGTCTGTATTCCTTCTATTTAAAAAAAGGCAACCCTTAAAACAAAACAAAAAACAACCCACCCACGCCAAAAAGTAAATTTCATAGTTTTTCTGGATAACTGCTACACCTTGTTTTCTTTAGGAAACAAATGCGAAATAAATCCAGGAAGGGGTTATGCCTCATCACATGCTGAGGCATAGGAATACAAATTAACTAAATATAGCCTGTCTAACAAAGCTGGAGGTGTGAGTAATACATAATTTAGGGATAAACTACAGATTTGATAGCAGACATTGGGCCAAGAGCTCCCATGCCAAACAGCTGCAAACAGAAAATACACATCTGTGCATTTGAGGGGGTGAATTTTCAGTTGAGAAGGAGCAAGCAGCAAAGGGTTTGCCTAACTCTTCCACTCTTTTCTTTTGCCATATATGTAAGAATGTTAGAAGAGCCACATCTCATCAGAAGAAAGGCTCATCTAACTCAACATTCTTTTCATGTAATAGCCAATCAGTTGCCAAACTAGAACAGGGGGTTGCAAAGTGTTTTACTTATTTCTTTTTTTGAGAGGGGGGGTCACAGGTCACCTTATATGTGCTGTAGTGCTCATCAAATAATTTCTTCCTTGACCCTTTGGAGCAGGATATTAGAGTATATGTGTATGCATGAGAAACAAGCTCTTTGGGGGAGAAAGAATTCTCTACATTCTTAGAAGGGATTACCCCATTCAAATGCCTTTTATGTAAATACAGCAGTGTGTATGTGCGTGTGTTGCAGGCTACTTGGCTATTATAAAAGAGGATCACAACTTGAAAAATGTAGGGAACCACTGTCTTAGAACATTGATATGTATGCGTCCCCCACTGTTTAAAATGCCTTTTTATGCAAATACAGCAGTGTGAGTGTGTGTGTGTTTTGCAGGCTACTTGGCTATTATAAAAGAGGATCACAACTTGAAAAATGTAGGGAACCACTGTCTTAGAACATTGATATGTATGCATCCCCCACTGTATATTCAACAGGTGATATATAGAGGATTATTGCCTCTGGTACTGGAGGTGGCATCTAGCCATCCCAACTAGTTGTCATTGTAGGACGTAACTTCCACCAATGTACAGTGGTGCCTCGCTTAACGATTGCTTCGTACAACGAAAAATTCACTTAACGATGGCTTTTTCAGAGCGATCTTGTGCTTCACTTAATGATTTTCCCTATGGGCGATTTTCGCTTAATGATTTCGGGACCATGCTTCGCTTAACGATGCCAGTTTTAGGTCCCCTTGTTTCGCTTAAGTTTTTTTTTACAGCCCCGTTTTTGCTATTTTTAAAATATTCTAAAATGTTTAAAATGCTTGGAATCGTTAGTGCACCTAATAAAACCTTCGTTAACTTAATTTGGCTTTGTTCTGAGTCTTTTTGAATTTTTGTGAATTTTTTCCCCCCAATGAAATAGGCTTGAATGCATTTCAATGGGTTTCGCTTAACGTTTTTTCCTATGGGGATTTTCGCTTAAGGATGGTTTTCAATGCATCTCTATGGGAAATGGTGTTTCGTTTAATGTTTTCACATAGCGATTTTTTTTGAACCAATTAAAATCGTTAAGCGAGGCACCACTGTATTCAATTCTCCCTGAAAGCCACCAATATATTTTGGAGCAGCGAACTTGATACCTTAGCAACATATGTGGCAAACAGATGACTGGGAATTTGCCTTAGGGTAAGACGGCTAACAAATAAAATGGCTCAACACATCCTTCCCTCAATCCTTCATAAATACTGTCCTTTTCTTGCAGCAGTTCAGGTGCCCTGTGTTTGCCACTGACTACCTAGTGAAGTCATTGTGTTTATGAAGAATACGATGTACTACCCAAGTCTGAGAAATGATCCAAACTCAGTCAAACCTGGAGACTTACTCTTTCAGCTGCCTATTATACAGGAAGTTGCTGGGCTTGACATCACGATGAACAATACCAAAGTGATGAATACGCTTCAAAGCTTTAAGAAGATTAAACATATAATCTCTTACTTCTTCAAAGGAGAGAGAATTCAAGATGTCCTAGAAGAATGTTGAAATAAATAAATGTACAAGAACTTCTAATTATGTGTTTTTAGGTCTTCTCTTAAAAGAAAACAAGGAACTTACCAAAAAAGATTCATGTTCCAGGTACGGCATAATGATAACCACATGGTCATTTTTTCTAAAACAGCATTTAACTCCCATGACATTATCCTGGCCTCTACAAGAGAAAGAAAAGCTGGTATTTGTTTCCTCACAAAACCCACCTGCCAACATTTGTGAACATTACTGTATCTCCGTACTCCTTTTAAGGTGTTTCATTCTCCTCTAAGCAAAATCTCTTCATACCAAAAGAGAAAAGCTCTGCATACTAGTAAGCAGCCTATTACTCAAACAGAGAGCACACAATTAATGAGCAACAGTTAAACCCAACTATTAGATACTAAACAGTATAAAGGGTTGTGTGTATAGCATCACACACACACAACGTAGTACTGGGTTCAGAATTCAGTTTTTGGAGAATGTGAATGTTCATCTTCCCTTTAAAAACAGGAAATGTCTAACCTTGAAGATGTGTTAATACCATGAAGCACCATATAAATCTAGAATAAAGCTAGGGTGTCAAAAATTGGCTTACAATGCACATGAGTAATGCCTGCTAAAACCTGCTAAAAATGTTTTCTTGCGTTAGAGGAAAGTGCCTTTCCCTTGTCAGGACTAGCAAAAGGGCAAAGAAAGTACTGTAAAGCAAAGCTGCAATTATGAATTATTTAAATTACACAAACAATAATTTTCTGTAGTCCCATAATACAGAAGCTTAATTAAGACTGCACAACTTCTGATCCTCCATGTATTGCGGGACCACACATCACATCAACTCTTACCTCTGACTACGCTGCCTAGAATGGATGGAAGCTGCAGTTCAGCAACATCTGAAGAACTCCATATTGTGCATCTGTAACCTAAGTCTCTTAATTCAGATTATTTTAGTGAGATATTATTACTGTATTGTTGTTTTAGGGCACAGACCATGCCTACCAACTAGTTTACCCGATTAACACACACTTCACTGAAAACTTGCCACTTCATTGATTATTTTTCTAATGTATTTTTGTGTGATTCCCATCACTATGGGATGCTTTATGAGATTTTAAAGAGAAGAAGCCCTAACAACAGAGATGTACCAGAGAGCTCTCATCAAAATGAAATGGCTACACAAAATGCACGCGATAAAGACATCAAACAAAGCCACGTGAATACCAAAAAACTTGCCAAATAGCCTGCAAAGTCAAAATCGTTCTTAAAACTTACCCTGCTACTATGAGGCACTGAAGTTCAGCAGCAATTCGTACAGGGTGGCTAGTAGGAATCAAGTGCTTCAAAGCTACTTTTTCTTCATGGCCTCCTTGTCGCTGGGCTATGGCTAAATAAACAGAACTAAATGTGCCTGTAGGGAAAAAAAAACAGATTTCTTTAGAACACATTTAACATTATTTCAAGAAATAATCCATTTCATATTGCTCTGACACAGTTCTACTGTGGTTCTAATAATGCTCCAGTTTCATAGAGTTATAAATGGGATCTATACTCATGAGAACAGTAAAATTTGAGATACTTCATGAACTTTGTACTCTTATGGGAACAAAAAGAGAAAACATGTTTCAATTGAATACTTGCATTTTGAATATATCCATTTCATTCATTCAGACTAGGCATTTAAAAGGCTAGACTATCTTTCTTAAAAATATATATAACTGTGTTAAACATGACTGTGATTCTCAGATACGACAAATGCTTCATAAACCTTCAAAAGGAGTAACCTTGTTTGCCTACCAAAACATAGGTAAGGTAAAGGTTCCCCTTGACAATTTTTTTTTGTCCAGTCGTGTTCGACTCTAGGGAGCGGTGCTCTTCCCCGTTTCCAAGCCGTAGAGCCAGCGTTTTGTCCGAAGACAATCTTCCGTGGTCACATGGCCAGTGCGACTTAGACACGGAACGCTGTTACCTTCCCACCGAGGTGGTCCCTATTAATCTACTCGCATTTGCATGCTTTCGAACCACTAGGTTGGCAGGAGCTGGGACAAGTGACGGGCACTCACTCCGTCACGTGGATTCGATCTTACGACTGCTTGGTCTTTTGACCCTGCAGCACAGGCTTCTGCGGTTTAGCTCGCAGCACCACCACGTCCCAAAACATAATGAACATTAAACATCCTTGCTTCGTCCGTAGCATTTAGATGCTCATACAAGTTTTAATATAGTGACCCAAGGAAAATTCCAGACGTTGTAAACACACATTAGAAATTTCAACAGCTATGACAATACTGTACATGCTTTTTAAAAACCATGTACAGTGGTGCCTTGCTTAACGAGCGCACCATTTAATGACGGTTTTTGGGGTTGCTAATGCAATCGCATTGCAAAGTTTAGATAGGCTAAACATCGCACTGCGATCATTCCTGCACCCGGCTGTTTTGGGAACAGCTGATCGGCGGTTCCAAAATGGCCGCCGGGTGTAGAAGATGGCTGCCCGCACCATTTTCGCGCCCTGCCCTCGCTTACCGGGCAGCGAAAATGGCAGCGCTATGGAGAAACTTCGCAGAACGGTGAGTTTAAGAGCCATAGGAACACATTAAACTAAGTTTAATGTGTTTCTATGGCGTTTTCTGTTCCGTATAGTGATGTTTCCCCATACTGACGGTTAATCTGGAACAGATTAACCTCGCTATGCGGGGCACCACTGTATTCAAAATATGTAATGCCACTACACTCCCAAAGCAACAAATACCCTAATATAGAGGTCGGCATGCTGGTGTCCGTTATTTATTTTGGACTACAACTCCTGTAATTTCTGATCCTTGGCCATACCCTCCGAGGCTTATGGGAGTTGCCATCAAAAATAGTGTTTGGGCACAAACTTGCCTAGTCCTTGCAGAATGACCAGCTGCACATAAGCATAATCCTGCTGGGACATTCCACTGGCAGGTCTAATGACTTCAAGCTGCAAAGAGCAATCACAATGTTTGCCTATTACTTCACTAGTACAAGCTGGGAGTCGACAGCACTAGTAAATCTAATTCCCATTCCTTTCAGCACCACAGCCATCTGTGAGTGCTATTCTTGTACAGCCCAAGAAACCTCTCAAACCAATATATACCTATACAGTACTGTATGCTGATTATTTTCAGAAAATTGAAGTCAGTCAGAATTGCTGTCAAAAACACAATTAGACCAGGTGCAAGTTAACTGTCCTGCTTTTTTAGATGTACCATAAATTTACGTTACATCTTTTGCTGGCTAGTTCTACATCCACTGCAAGATAGCACTCATGTGATTTGCAACTGTTCACCCGAAGTGGTCTAATATATTATCAGTTGTTTGAGAACAACGCTTGCAAGACAACTGTGCGATTATTTTAAAATTTCAGCATCAGCTGCTAGCTGGGGTAGGGGGCACAGAGGAGTCAGGATTGGGATGTGACACACGGGGGTGGGGAGGGGGGGTTCAAATCTTTTCTCCGTGCTGTGATCCCAATGACAACTGCCCATTTTGGAGCCGTCATTCATCCCAGGGGGGAAAAAAAGATCCCCACTGGCACTGACACAACTACAGCATAAATCAGGTAAGGGGATTTTCACTAGGAATGCCGCAGGAAGTAATGGATTTAATCATCCCCTCCATCTCTCGGGGATATCTGGTCATCCCCACTCTCAGTGTTCAAATTTTAAAATAGGCCAGTATTCTATTGCTAGTCTCAGCTAGAGTTAAGACTCACTGAATCAGTTCCTGGATTTAGTCAAGTCAATGGGACCTACTCTAGATGGGAGTATCAACAGGATATTGGACATTAATCAGTCAGTTACATAATTAACATCGTATCTAGTTTGGTCCTAAAAACCTGCAAAGGAGAGAGGAGATGAAAATCCAGTTGGAGACAAGCAATCAGCAAATAATGTCAAATTCTAGAAGGGTTTCTTCAAGGGGCCTCTAGTAAGTTGGCCACTTTCTCCCATTAAAATATAACAAAAAGATTCACAAATGTAAGTGGCAAATAGTGTACTTTCAGAACTGAAACTTCAAATGAATTTCATTTACACCGAGAGACACAAGACTGCAAAAACGATCACACTAATATGAACAGATAGTTTTATTTCCATAAGGAAATCTTTAGATTTCAAGAAATAGCAAAGCAAGTCACATTTACCTTCACCGATTTTCCCCTTGATTTTGAATACATTTGCAAGCTGTGGCACTGCTTCATAGAGCTTCTCAATATCTGTACTTGCTCCTGACAAGAAATGTTTTTTAAAAATGAGTATTTTCCCACAAACAAATTTACTTAAAGTATTTCAACAGTGAAATTGAAATATTAGCACAAGCTCCATTGGTCCTAAATAATCCATACTGATTAAAGTTTCCTACTGGTTTCAAGGTGTACGCAGATTTCACATGAAATAAAATTATTACAAGACTCTAGCCCATGTTTATTCTATTTGAATACTCATTTCACATAAACTAATAACTAATAAATAACATAAACTAATTTTCCATCCTTGGTCAAGTCCATGGAGAAGACAGCAACACCTAAAGCCCAACACAAATACAGACAACACTAATCAGAACCCGCTCCAATCTGACTTTTGGCCAGGTCATGATGCAGAAACAGCACTCACAGCTCTAGTGCATGACATATGCTGAGGACTAGATGTGGGTTGCGTGGATAGGAAAATGTTGTTTCTTCCAGAATACCTGGGCAGCCTTTATGAACGCTGATCTCATTGTACTCCTGGGGTTGGCCTGTTATGGTAGTGGTTTGTAGTTAAGTTGTTTTTAGTCCCTCCTGAAAATATGCACTCGGTGATCCAAGGACATTTCTGTTCTGCCATGTGGCCTTTAGCTTATAGGACACCACAAGATTCTGTTTTATTCACGCCCTACCCCAAGCATTGTAACCTCAAAATGAAGCCTGTAATCATCTGGAGATTGGGGCGAGTGTGTCAGCAGTAAGTTAATGTCACACAGCAGCAGCTCTCATTACCATCTATTAATTCCGAAGACACCTAAGTTGCAGAAGTCCAGTACAGATGTCTAAGGTGGGGTGAGGAACCTCTGGCCTTCCTGGTGTTTTGTTTGATGGCTGCAAGCTGCTCATCCCCTTGTAGTAGGGACTATTTTATATGGATGAGAAGGGTGAAAATTCTGAAAGTAAGGTTGGAGGGAAATCCTCTTGGATTCAAAGCTATCTGTAGGAGCAAAAGTGGTTTTCCTGGGACAACAGAAGCAGACTTACCTGTAGCAACCTTCGCTTTTCACTCTGGCTACATCTAAATTAGATTATGCAATGTAATATAAAGAAGGCAGTCTCAGAGGACAGTCTGGATGTTTCTTCCACTACCAAATGTGAAAGTACAGATGTGGAGGGGGCAAGGTGTTGCTCCTATCGAGCACCAACAGTGCTGGCCACCTACCTGCTTCTCATCTCAATTCAAAGTGCCATTTTCAGCTTTAAAACACGAAATGGTTTGGGACCACCTCACCTGAAGAACAACTTACATGCATATAAACATGTATTAGTTTTTCTGGAGCAGCCCATCTCACCTGCCTGCCATTAGCAAGTTGGCAAGCTTTAGAAACAGCACCTTCTTAGTAGTGGCTACTCATTTGTGCAATTCTTTCTCTCTCGCAGTGTTTTCATTTCTGTTTTTAAAACTATCTTTGATGTTTTGATTATTTCAAATTTCAATACTTAAGTGTTTTTCTTGGGCTACCAACTCAGCTTGCTTCATATCCTGGCTTATCAGGCTAAATATAAGCCTAGAGTAAGCCTACCAATGGAATTTAAATTACTGTAGTTGCAATGAATACATTTCATTAATTTCAGTGGGTCTATTCTAGCCAGAACTACTGTTTAGCTCATATTTTTCAAATATACAGAACTGCATTTAGGTACAGCATACTGTTTTACAATCACAATTACTGTTTCAGAGCACTGAAGGTAATATGTTCAAGTCAACTGGGGGGGGGGACGACAGACACTGCATTATCACTTTTCCTTCTACTGCTTTTATATTGTTATACATGGGTTATAATGGCTGGTTTTTGTTTCTCTTCTTTTCTATTTTGTAAGTTACTTATGTTTTGAAGTGACGTTTCTATATAGAAGAAAACAAGCTGTAAATTCCTTAAAAATATGGATGGATCAGACTATATCAAACAACATTTCTATAGTTTTATGTAGCTTAACAAAAAGCATGCGAAAGATGCAAATGGCCAGGCTATGTAAATCATATTGTTTTCTGGATAATATGACAAAAAACAGGCAGTTATGCAAAGCAGTAAGCAAGGTCATATTCTCTACTACAAATGTTGAATGAAAAAACTACAGAAGCAGTAAGCAAGGTCATATTCTCTACTAATGTTGAATTAAAAAAACTACTTTCCAGGAATTTAGAAGTTGCTGCTTTTCATATTCTTGTCACTAGATGGCACAGCAAGGTTGTTTAATGTCTTTCTCTGCAAATCTGAGGAAGGGATATTCTAGTTATACCGAATGCTGTTCTCTTTTACATGATTCAAATACCAGGACTCAGTTGGCGATGTAGCTATGGCAGCAAAGTGCTGCTAATTAATGAGGTACTGGTTGCATTCTTCAACTGGCACCCAATCAAACAATCAGGCACACATTCAGGAACACCACCAGTGCTTTATTGATCAGCTACCATTTGCTACAGCAATTTACACCATTTCACTTATGGAAGCACAAATCAGCAAAAAGATCCTGGCCATAATGTTTTAATGATTATTCTTCCAAAACATACAAAACCATAACTCGAATCTTCCTTAACACGACTGCTTTAATACTGGCGTTCTACAAAGGGCTGTTGATGTGGAGCCACCCCATATGTATTTTTCATAAACCTTGGCAATCCTAACCTACCTCAAATGAAACATTGAACCAATGTCCAGACCAGAGGCAAGTCTTTCTCAATGACTGCCTCACACATCTAAGTGGGAGAAATACATAACATTTCCTCACTGCAGTTGTGTGTCTGTGCATGCACACATACAAATTAGCCACAATGACACATTTATTCCAGTATGTATTTAGTACCTAAGAAAATATTTAGCTGCTGCAGTTTTACATCTTAATGTACGTATTTCACATATTTTGTATGCTGCCTTGTAAGGTCTGTGTGTCCCTGAAAGGAGGCCAAACATCTTTTCAATTTAGCAGATATGTTAAAAGCCATAGATATTGCATCACTTGCTGTAGGACAGGGCCCTTCCTCATGGCTTTTCTCTGACAACTTACTTAGCTGGCTTGAACTTGAGCTATACAGCAGCAGCTACTTTCATACTTCTCTTCTATGTTGTCATCCTCTATTGGGCTTCTTTAAGCCATGTCCATATGTGCATCCTCAAATACTGGAAGTTAAAGCTAGAACCCAGGATCCAAAGAACTATAAACCTAGTTCTCCTAACCGTAATGGCACTACCAGGTACCTACTTGAGATACAATGATCTGCCCCCCCTCCGAAATGTTACCGGAGTAATCTGGGTTTGAATCACACTGTGAACGATGGGTGTCAAGGCTCCTTGTGAGCCCAGAAGTATTTGAGAAAATGAAAATGGCAGGTACACTGAGGCTTTGACAGGCATTTCACTGCACAACATGCCTAATAGCTGCCTCCCACCTGAATAAAGGAAAAATGACCCTTCCAGCTAATGATCAATTAGTTGGTGTTTCCATACCCAGACCCTCAAATCTTCTCTAGATGATCCTATAAGCCTTCGGTGCAGACCTGGAGGTTGCAAAGAAAATTGTTCCATGGGCAGAAACACAACATTTGTTACAACCTGGCATCTTCATCTCCCTCCTGTAACCATCAAGCTGAAGAGCAATTATGTAAGAACAGTAAGTGTTGTTGGAATCCTACAAATCAGGCATTGACTTGGAAATCTGGAAAAAAATCATTATGTCAGAAGTTATTTTGTGCTGTGGCATAAAACTAGACCACTTCTTGGCTTCAACAAGATGCATATTAGTTCTTTGTGTTAAGACTATTATTGCACATATAAGTACTGAAGAACCTCAGGAGAAAGGAAACATTAAGAAGTCAGGAACTCACAGGGAGATTTTAAGAGGACAATAAGACGTATCAAAATATGTACCTGACAGCTTCTTGTGATCGTATTTCCTAAACGAGTCTTCACAGTGCAAGGGAGGATGTTCATCCTGATAAGCTGCTTCCATCACAGAAGTGTCTGAAAGCAAACAGTGAGGTTGTTAGAACAGCAAGAACCAAGATCTTTCAAGGCTAAATAAATTAAGCCTTTCAAACTTTTTATGTGCCACCAAACTGCATCCAAGTGATAACACTACGAGTTAGTGACTTGCAAAAAATCCTGCCATTTTTAGCCCTGCTCAGATTCTTGCAGATGCAAATTTGTGGCTTCCTCTGTTGGGTCAATCTACCTCATATCAGTCATCTTCTTTTCCTACTGCATTCAACTCGTCTCAACATTATTGCCTTTTCTAGTTCGTCTTGCCTTTCCATGGTATTCCTAAAGCATTCTCTCAAAGTATATTTATGTTATATTTGTCTGTTACATTATATTTATAATATTTTTATGGAAACTGCCCACAGTGCCCAGCGCTAATTGAGCGATATATAATTCTATGAAAATAAATTCACCAGGTTCAAAGAAATCTTGTTCTCTCCCTCAACACACACTGTATAAAGAACAGAAACAAGACAATATGGAGGACGAAATAAAGAGTACAGTATCTGGGAAATGAAAGTACTGTGCAGTGACACACAAATGTTACTAAGAAATGTGAGATGGTGTGTGCTATACAAGCTGACACCATGCACTGTGAAGTCCTTGTAAACCACTGGTTCTCAAATAGGGAGAAAAGCTGGAACAAACCTCGTGAGATGCAAGGTGAGTTTTTAATTAAAAAAATGCTTTTATTAGCCTAACCTATTTTTAATTTCATACTTAAATTAGTACTTCACTGGGGTCGTGTTTCTTTTTAAACAAAGCTTTTCTTGTCAAAGAGGGTTGGTAAAGGATTGATGGGGAGAAGGGAAAGACTTGGCAAAAATTTAGTCTGAGAACCACTGTCATGAATCTAGCAGAGTTTATTTCATGGTGGCCACAGGACCTGCAGTTTTAAGTCTCCAGGATGAGGCTGAAAAAATATCGAAAAAACGAATGTGGCAAAATAAGGCAGATTACTGCACGCGCTAACACAAAGGGGCAAGCAATAGCAACGCAAAGTTGAGAACTGCTTTCATGAGTGGAACTACTGTACACAGTAGTTATGTATTGATACTTCCAGATTTCAGGGACCCACAGAACTAGAAATGCTCTAGGATTTAAAGAAAAGTGCCTTGTTCAAACCAGAGCCCGGCGAACTTCCAGGAAGCTCTGGGTCCCAAACACCGTCTCCCGCCCGAAAAAAAAAGAAGCATTTTTGGTGGGAGAGCGATGACCGTGTCCCTCCTTTACTTACTTGTTTGGCGAGTAAGGGATGTTAATATTATTGTTACTGTTTGGCTTAATTTTTTTAAAAGGCCCCTCTCCCGAAGTCCCCGCTCGGCTCGGCGGGAAAAACGAACTTCGGAACAGCACAGGGTCCCCGCCGAACTTCGTTTGCAGGAAGCCGCCTCGCCTGAGGCGCTTTTGCTTTCTCAAAAGCAGCGGGGTACAAAGAAACCACGCAACTCCCCCCCCCCACACGCACACACATCGCATCCCACCCGCAAGTAAGAAAGAGGCGAGCCCCTCTTCCCGCCCGAAATACATTCCTCCTACCTACCGCCAAACGCGCGAATATGCGGCGGAAGGCGCGAGGGGGCGGAATCGGAAAAGGTCGTCTGAGCAGAGAGGACACGTGACAGGACAGCCTGCGAAGGGAGCCTCTAGTGTGTGGGCGGGGAGGGAGAAAGAAAGAGGGCGGGAGGGGAGGAGTTTTAATAGTACTGAAGTTGTCCTTCGACTGGCGGGGGTGGAAGTGTAATGGCGTCATTATTACCGGTTCGGGTGGCGGGGCGAGGCGGGGGAGAGAGAGTTTTAGTGTTATCTGCCGGAGGGTCGAGCGGTCCGTTTCATCGTAATTACAGTATTGGAAATATTCTGAAAGACCTTAAAAATGACTTTCTTTCTCTGCCTGGCCCCGTTGTAAGCGGGCGCAAGCGTCTGGGTACACCAAAAGTTACTGAAAAGTTGCTTTTCTAGCATCGCTCGGCTTCTCTTTGATGGAATCCTTTCAGACGGGTCCACGAAAGCTTACATTAAAATATAATAGTCCTTAAGTGCCATGTGCTTTTGTCTTTTTTTATATATCTTGTTTCTTTTGGATTTCGCTTGATGCATCTTTTCAGGCAGTTTTTGCTTTCTGGAAGGGCAAATATGGTTCTGGGTGGCTTGAAGGAGCGTTTGTGCCTAAAGTACCATCAAAGTTTATAGGCAAGAATAAATAGCGGCCTCATTGAACACTTGCCTTGTTCGAATTTACTGGAAAAAAGCTAATGTGTGTATACTTATTCTGATACGAATTTATAGGGATCAGACTTAGTCGGAGTTGACCATTGTGAACTTGTTCTCTATTCCTAGTTATACGATGAGTTTCAACGTGAGGGATGCTTTCGCTGATGCAAAATTGGTGAGAGGAAGATGACTGCAATTTCTCCCTGCCAATAGAAGCCCCACCACCACTTCTGAGGGACGGCAAACATCAGTAATATTTCTGAGGAGAATATGGAAAGGGGGCAAGAAAATCCCATTCTCCTTACGCGTAACATCTTCCACAATCCTTAGGGTTAAGCCTTAGGTGGTTATGCCTTAATATTCAAAAGACACAATTAGGATTGTAGGATTTCTTTCAATGGTAAATTGCACAGGTTGCTACCCATCATTTAACACAGTAAATCCTTTTGGATTATGGCCCACAATCCATTATTGTACCTCATTACAGTATTCCTTACTAGTGGAACTGGGAATGTGTGTTGTCCCTTCTATTTCCAGACCTCCAAGGTGTCAAGATCCTGCTGCAGAATTTTTTAATTGCAAGGGACAGTGGGGAGGAGCTGGATTCAACACAAGGAGACCATCAGTTCCTGGTTTTGCTTGAGGCATGCCAACAAACATGCAACTGATGCCTACAAGAACCCGTAACATTAATTTTTCTTAACATCTTTCCTCTATGTTTTATATAGTAGTTGGATAGTTCAACCAGAAATGAAATAAAAGTGTTGCTTTGCAATGTCTTCCTGAGGCAAGACATGATATAGTTTATTTAGATAGCTTTAAAAAAAAAAAAGGATTCCTATAATCTTCAACCATTTGGTAAAATAAAAGTATTTCTTACTTGATAGATTTTTATCTCAGCTTTAGGGGTTCCCTTCCCCAGACAATTTATTATTACAAAATAATATAGTAAGTGTGCATGCTATTAAAACAATAATGTAGCAGACAATAAAATTTAACAACATTGAAATAACAGGATAAAACCATTGCTATACAATCACCCCAAAGTAGGCCAAAATAAAAGGATGTCAAATGTGTAAGATTTCTTTAGATAACAAAAAAAATTACTTGTAGTCACATATCCTTTCATCCAGGCATTCAGATCATGTGTCTTGAATAGGATGTTTTCTGATCTGAAAACAAATTAAAGAGGGTGTAAAGGGACCTGTACTTAAGCTATATAGATAATTACCACGAGATAATCTCTCACACCATTCTCTCCTTATCTGTACATAGCTCACCTAGTCCTTAGATTGACCATTTCTTTGTGTACTAATTTTAAAAGACTTGCAATTTTTTTTAAAGATTTTAACTTATAGGAAGGCTCTAGGAAGCCTCAAGCAGCCTCTGCTTTGATTTTATTCAGCCAGAGACTAGGCAATACTGAAGCTGTGTATAATTCCCACTTCCCTCAAATATTATAATGGAGAACAGGGAGGAATGAGTGATACATACATGAAGGATAGACCTTTCATGCTTAAATGGATGACCCGGAACACTAAGGAGGCTTTCTTTTGTGTGTAATTTATGTTTGCCAAAAGAGAGCCTCTTAAAAGTGTATGATTCATGTTTACAAGAGATACATGAACGTTTCATCTTTCTTTTGTGTTCCCTGTTTAATGTGACTTTTTCAGCAGCCTTTCACCCTTTATCTGTCAAACTGAGAAATTTTTCATTCAATAGCATCAGGAAGGCTGTCAGCAGGCAACCAATCATCTAGGGGTGAGTGGGAATTTTGAATCTGTAAAATGGCCTGGAACACAGTGAGGAGAGCTCTTTGCCTCAATCATTCCTTCTGGAATTAATGGGTGCTGAGCTCCTGCTGTTTTCTTTCTTTCTTTCTTTCTTTCTTTCTTTCTTTCTTTCTTTCTTTCTTTCTTTCTTTCTTTCTTTCTTTCTTTCTTTCTTTGCTTTTTCTGGAGGGAATATGTATAGGATTATTTTGGCTGTTTCCAGGCAGCCCGCTTATGTCAAGGTACCTCCTTGAGACTGTTTTTTGCATCTCCTCCCCGTTTATTTTAGGAATGTTATCCTAATTTGGCTTTTGCCACTCATTTCCTTTCATGGATTATGTTTCAATTATTATTGGATTAGATTATTTTTAATTATTATTGGAAAGGATTCTTTTAAAATTATTTTTTAAAATTATTATTATTATTATTATTTAAATCCAGTGTACATGTGGAGGTACTTTCTCTTTTAGATTTACAGAAGCCTCTGTGCTGCAAGGTCAGAAGACCAGCAGTTGTGAGACCGAGTGAGCTCCCGTCGTGTGTCCCAGCTCCCACCAACCTAGCAGTTTGAAAGCATGTAAAAATGCGAGTAGATAAATAGGTACCACCTCGGTGGGAAGGTAGTGGCGTTCCATGTCTAGTCATGCTGGCCACATGACCACAGAAACTCTTCGGACAAACGCTGGCTCTATGGCTTGGAAACGGGGATGAGCACCGCGCCCTAGAGCTGGATGCGACTGGACTAAATGTCAAGGGGAACCTTTACCTATTCTGTTTAAGGTGTATATTTTGATGGGGGTTTTGGAAACGATTTTATTTGCTTCTGTGAGGTTGTGTGGGACAGAGGAATAGACTTTGTGACTGTGTGCCACTGGGCTGTGTGGGTACTTGCTGTTGGTTAGTGCACAGCTTGAAGCATTTTTATTGTTGTTCTTAGTCCTGTGTTGTTGCTTGGATGCTTTGGTGATTGGGGGTCTCTGTTTGCTAGACAGAAAGTGCCTGCTGGTTGCTCTCTTACCTTTTTTCTGTTGGGGCAGGGGTGTGGTGCTGAACACATAGTGTTCTTTTGAATGTGATAATACAAACTAGTGCCTGCAAATGCCTGATGCTGATTTTTCTTTTGTACTGTTTCCTGCTTTTGGAATAGACTGATTCTGTGTTGCTTTCTCTCTGCTTTTTTTGTAGTAGCTTTTAAAGGTTTAGGGCTTTTGTATTGTCATAAGACATAAATGGGGAAACACTTCGGCGAAATCTGGAAGAGGCTTTCCTTTTTCCTGTAAAATGAAATAACTACCCTGTTTCCCCCCCAAAAATAAGCCCTAACCTGAAAATAAGCCCTAGTATGATTTTTCAGAATGCTCATAATATAAGCCCTACCCCCAAAATAAGCCCCAGTTAAGTGAAACCCCGCCATCCACCACTGTGCAGCAGCCAGAAGAAGATGACATGAATGTATTTGAATCAATGTAGGTTGTTGTACATGAAAAAACATCCCCTGAAACAAGCAGGAAAAAATAAAACATCTCCTGAAAACAAGCAGTAATGCGTTTTTTGGAGTAAAAATTAATATAAGACCCTGTCTTATTTTCGGGGAAACACGGTAGTAGCCAAAGAATACAAAAATGTAAGCGGCACCTCCCAAAAGAAAGCAACTGAAACACATTAAATCTTTGTCGTTATATGCTGTCAAGTTGCCCCCAACTTATGGCAACTCCATGAATGGGTGATCCACCAAATGGCCTGTTCTCAACAGTCTTACTCAGCTCTTGCAAACTTAGTCCTGTAAGTTCCTTTAGGAAATTAATCCATCTCATATTTGGTCTTTCCCAGCATTATTGTCTTTTCCAGATAATCCTAACTTCTAATGATGTGCCCGAAGTAAGACATCCTCAGTTTCAACATTCTGCCTCCAGAGATAAGTAAAAATAGATAAATCTTAGAACACCTAAAAAACCCCTATTTTTTTAGCCTAAACTTTCATGAACTGCAGCCAACTTCTATAGGCATCTTAAGAACTATACTATAGTCTTTGAAAGGTTATAAAATGAAGACGTACACTACACCAATGTAAGCTTTTGTCAGATAAAACTTTTTAGTTTTTTTAAACGCTGCAAGACTTTTAGGAGTTTTTGCTGAACAAACACGGCTATCCATTTGGCAAGATCTGCTAAGGGAGAAAAACATTAAGAGTTTAAAGCAGGGGTTCACAACTTTGGGTGTTTTGTACTACAGTACTTCCATAATTACTTTCCGTTGGCTAAGATGGCCACACAAATCTGGTGGGAATTGTAGGCCCAAAACCTCTGAGGGCCACATTATAAGAAGGCTTCTTTTATTTGCAATAATCTGTTGAACTTGAAAAGTGTGTGTCTAGCTCTAGCCCATTATTTTGATAGCAACCAGATCCATATATTTTGGAGAAATCTTACTAATATTATAGGACATTGCTTACATCCTCCGTTTCTTGTGCTGG